AACCAATGATTTTTACGGGAACAAGTTTCTGTTTCATCTTTTGCTACTGCTTCAATATATTGTATCGTTATAAAGAAATTATTAAAGAAGAAAAAAACAAGAATATATGGTTAACAGGAATACAAATAAATATAGAAAACCAGAAATATTACATCTATTGTCTGTACCATTCACCTAGTGCAAGTCATGCGGAATTTTTGGAGGAGTTGGATGCGTTTTTAGATAGCATTGAGACTGATGCTATCTTTGTGATATTGGGAGACTTTAATATAGATTTGGCAAGTATAAACTTTTACTCTATGAAATTAAATGATATTATTATTAAAAATGGTACCTATCAGCTAATAAACGAATACACAAGGATTACAAAATCGACATCTACTAGGATTGACCTAGTACTTACAAATCAAAAAGACATTAGTTGCAAGGTGCTCCCAACTCCAAAGATTACAGATCATTCGATAATTGTAGCTGATCTGGGTAGAAACAATGAGACGACACTTACAAAAACCTATAGAAAGTACAATATAATGGATGTGACAGGATTTCAAATGAAACTTATGGATATGCAGTGGCCGTCAAGTTCCTCTATAGATGTAAGTAACAATGCTGATATTCTAATATCTAATGTATTGTCTGCACTCGATCAGTTTGCTCCAGAAAAGTCTATTAAGACGAAGGATGTTTGGGGAAATAAATTATGGTGGAATGAAGACATTGCGAATGAAATTAACAAAAGAGATCAATATTACAAAAAGGCTATATTTACTAAAACTGATACTGACTGGGATGATTTCAAACAACAAAGAAATAGAGTCGTAGCATTAATCAGAATTACCAAACAAAATTATTATCAGGAAAAAATAGATGATTGTAAGAATGACCCAACAAGAATGTGGAAAACATTAAAGGAGCTTGTAAATGGCAAAAAAAACCATGAAGCTAAAAGTGAAATAATATTTGATGGTGGGGGGGTTACTGGTAAAGAGATAAGTGAAAGATTTAATATATTTTTTCTAGACAGTGTAAAAGACATAGCAGATAGCATTATTTCAAATAAAACCCACCAAGAAATTTGTAGTTCAATAAATGTCGACTGCAAAATGGAAAAATTCAAAATGTTAGAAATGAAAGATTTAAAAAAACAAATGAAAGAAATGAAAAACAAAGAAAGTAATGTTGATGGTATTACAGTTCAAATTTTAAAGAGTTCCTTTGAAGTAATAGGCGACAAAATTTTGTATATTATAAATGGTAGTCTAGAAAGTGGCGTATTCCCAAGTAAATGGAAGAGAAGTCTGGTTGTACCAATTGAGAAGGTTCATGGAACTGTTAAGTGTGAGGAATTTCGACCCATAAATATGGTACCACCATACGAAAAACTGCTGGAATTATGTGTAAATGATCAAATAATGAAGTACTTGGAAAGCAATAATGTGTTAACTAAATTCCAAGCAGGGTTTAGGAGAGGAAATTCCTGTGAGAGTGCAATGCAGACGGTTTTGTTTGACTGGAAGGGTGCGCTGGAGTGCGGGAAAATGATTGGTGTGGTTTTCTTAGACTTTAAATGTGCATTTGAAACCATAAACAGACAACTGCTATTGAGAAAGATGGAAAGGTATGGCTTTGGTAAAAAAATTATAAAGTGGTTTCAAGAATATTTGACTGATAGAACACAAGTGACAAAATATGGTGACATTTCATCGGCTCAGAAGTCTCTGTATGGTGTGCCACAGGGAACTGTGTTAGGTCCTACTCTTTTCATACTGTATATAAATGATATTGTTGATGTTGTTAAAAAGTGTAAGGTACAGTTGTTTGCCGATGATACTGTGATATATGCAATAGGGGATAAGGTAGATGAAATAATCGATATAATAAATGAAGAGATATGTAATATATTAAAATGGCTCGATAATAATTCCTTAAGTCTTAATGTACTTAACTAAAACAAAAATGATGCTTATAAAGAATAAAAATTTTAAATTAAATAACATAATAAAAGATGTAAAAATTAATAACATTGCTTTGGAGAGAGTGGTTCAGTATAAGTATTTGGGATGTATTATAGATGAAAATTTAAGTTTTGTTGAACATTTTAAGTTTGTTACAAACAAAATAGCAAAAAAAATCTATGCATTGGGAAGAATGTCAAAAAATTTAAGTTGCTGGTCTAGGTTGACCATATATAAATCGATTATTGCTCCCCATCTCTATTTTTGCTCTACATTGCTGTTTTTAATGAATGCTTCTCAAATGAACGTACTGCAGAAAAAACAAAATAAAGCCTTAAGGATAATATTAGGATGTAGTGTATACACTAGTAGAACTGACATGCTAACAATGGCAAATGTTTTAAGTGTAAGACAGACAATTGTATGTAATAGTATGATTTTTGTTTATAAAATGTTAAATGGTCTGATACCTGTGCATTTGTGTAATAATTGTACCTTTGTTCGAGATGTACATGAACGCAACACACGTTCTAGAAATAACTTTTATCTGAATAGGGTCAACACTAATTTTGGTCAGAACAATCTTTTTTATAGGGGATTAAAGCAATACAATGAATTACCGGAAAACATTAAGGCTTCTGGAAACTTAGCTCAATTTAAAAATTTATGTAAGATATATGTTAAGCAAAGCATTGTGATTTAATTTTAAGGGTATAAATTGATGTATCTATATGTATATTTTTCTAGCCATGTGCTATTAATAAAGATTATTATTATTATTATTATTATTATTATTCCTTTATTCTGGTCCAGTAAGAGTCTATATCTTTCTGGCCTTCTTCATTTACATTTTGATTCCTTATCCTGTTGGTGATGTTTTCTGAGCACAGTTCTGCAACTGTTGCATATCTCAGCTTTTGCACATTCCATTTCTTTCTATCCATTTTATTTTCCTGTCTGAAGTTTGAACTTGTAGCCTACAATGTTGAGATCACAAGGCAATGATCTGAGTCTGTTTGCACCTCTATAACTTCTGCAGTTCATTACAACTGTTGAATGTCTCAAATCTATTAAGATGTGATCAATCTGACTTATTGTTCATCCATCAAGAGAGATCCAGGTTACCTTGTGTATATTCTCAATCATATTCTCAGTACCTTCTAATTTGGTAATTTTGTAAAGTTGCTGTTTTATTTTTCATTATTTAATTATACCATCTAGCTGTGGACCTGATTGATTTTGTTAGAAAAATTTTTACTCTGAGTCAGCATTATAAACCATTGCCAACAAATAGCAGAAAGCCTTCCATAGCTAACCACCTGGTATATAACTTACAGAATTCTTAAAGTAAGTATGTATGTAAAGGATGATTCTAAACATTACAATATAAACTAAACTTTTTCTATTCCCTTTTAAAAAACCATGACTTTGAATAAGATAGATTCAATTGTTTTATACTCAAAGTTGGTGCATATGCATACAATCTTACAATTTAGTGTTTTTACTTAAATATTTTCTTATTTTTTTTAATACAACCATTATAATACCAAAGAATATAGACGCTTATAGAAGAACAGTTCAAATGGACGATTTGGTTAGGGTTTACACTTTAAAACACATCTGGCAGTCGGCTTAAACTATCTCATAAAAGATGTAGTTAGGGGAAAGTGGGAAAGGAGTACGAACGGAGCTATTTATTTAACTTTGCATCTACGAATAAAAAAAATCCCATGCTTTTTTTGTTTGTTTTTTCACAATAAAATCTTTATTTTCAATATATTAAATTGTTAAATTTTGAATTTTGAAATTTAAAAAGGTATGATATTTACAATTTTCAAAGCATTTATTTTTTACATTTTATAACTTTGAATTAAAAATAGGTTTGTTCCAACACAACGAAAAACCGTCACATAAATTTTTATTATACTGTTTTTCTGCCCAAAAATTAACGAAATATTTTTTAAAAATATTTCGTTAATTCTTGGGTTAATTCAACCAAAAATTTGATTTTCTCAGGACTTTTCATTAAGCTTTTTAGACATGTTTCCATTATTCTGCAGAAAAAACAGTGTTGTGTTTTACATTTTGTTATTATTAAAAACAAAGAAGAAATTATTAAATTTAGAAAATTTGGAAATATTTAATTCCGGTGATTGATGACTTTATTGGTTGAATTAATTTTATAGTTAATAAGAAGAGAGTTCTTCTTATTAACTATAATATTATTTGTAGATTTGTACCTATTTAAATTAAAAATTCGAATCATAATATTTTTTCTAATAGGATTCATTTATTAAAAGTTAAAATATTATTATTTTCTTTAAAAAATATTATAAAACGCAAAAATTTAATCCTATTCTACGGCCACGCGGCATTATGTGTTGGTAGTTCTCTGGCATTATACATAAAAATATCTGTTGCATTTGTTGCCCCACTCTTTCATATTTTAAAAGCAATAATAGCGTTGACATGACCGCTCCCTTCTCGATCCACCCTCTCATTCTTTTTCATAACGTGCGATCATCTTTTGCAAACTTTCAAACATAACAGTGAAAGATTCTTCTATAAGCGTCTATATTCTTTGATAATACACCTATAATCATATGAAATACTATAAGACCCGAACATACCAGATTAAAGAATGTGTACTGTATTTAAATTTAATTTTTAATTTAAAAAAATACAATCTATTTGAATTTGTGTTTTAAATTGGTACTTCAATTTTCCCATACACTTGCACCCCATGCACCATCTACTTATTTGGTACTTTGATCTCTTTTTGCACATTCAGAATCACCTATATGGCAATTTACAATATATTAGTCTTTTGTTTTTGAACTTGCCTTTTTTCTTTTGAAACATTTGAGATATGGTATTATCTGCCAGTAATAATATTAACTGGCAAAAAATTTTAACCAATGATGTATGCAATCAGTACAATGAAACTTTTTTGAAAAGCAATAGACAAATTTCATCTCCATAGACATCGTTCCATCTTACTACACTAGTACCATACTTTCAAATAGTCTATACTTAAAAACTTACCTAGAAATCCGATCTGGACTCTCTATTGGAAAATTTTTCACAGATTTCTTTTCAGTTAATGCTATATTGTCCTTCATGCCTGATAATGTAGACCCCTTAGAGGGTTTTGACCTGGTAGAATTTTCATTTTTAAAATAATCTATTAAAGATGTAGATCTATTAAACAATGATGGAAAGTGTGATGTAGGTTTTGTTGGTTTATTAAAATCACATCTAAACAAAATTAAACTTTTTGATTCTGAATCATTACTACTAGATTCTTCTAGTAAATTCATGTCTACACATTCTTTATCACTCTGCTTCATCCAATTAGTCACTTTCTCTATATTCGATAGGGTGGAATTCTTTTTATCCCATGTTACTGAGCCACTTTGACCAAAATTTGATGAATCCAGAGATATAACTGCATCTTTACTCTTGCCAGTGTTGTAGGTTACTTGTAAAAAATCATTTTTATTTTTTACAGCTTTACTTGATATTCTGATAGTCGTATCCATTTGGAAAAATTATTTTAACTCAGCATTATTAGCCTCTTCTAGAGCAAGATCTCAGGTTAATAATCTACTGCTACTGACATAGTAAAAATAAACATTAACCAAAATGTTTACAATACTGAGAATACTATCAACATTATATATTTACTTATTTTAAGTTTCACGGAATTTTTCTTAATTAAATAATATTCAAAAATAAGCACAGCAATTCAATTTAAATTTTTCTCAGTTGAACATTTGGAAAAACACTGTTTATCTTGTCACATTGTCATATATGCTGTCAAAATAAATTTCTTCCATTCTTCCATATTATAGCGTGCAAAATCAGTTTTTTGTCGGTCTTAATTCCGATGAATGTAATCTGTATGTTTTTTCTTTGTCTGACGTATTCCTGCAAAGATAAATGATAAATTTTAAAAGGAATTATAAAAATATGCAAAAAGATCCCTAAATTTTTAACATATAATAATAGTTTATTTAATATGACCGCAATTTTTATATTATTATGACACGGAAAGAATAAATTTTAAAATAACATATATTTTGTTTAACTGCAATTTGAATAAACGGACAATACGTTATAACGTGGGATTTTTAACTGATAAAAATCACAGAGATTGGCGAAGATTGCCAATATTTTTAAACTTCAAGCAAAAATGTATCATGTTCCGTTATTTCTGGTAAAATCCAAAATCATTTTCTAATCATACACAATGGTACTAAAACGTATACTACACTATACTTTACTTATAAAATTATTATCTTTTTTGGATGTGAAGAGTTAAATGGTAATTCATGAGTTTCGACCAGAGATATGTAAGTCGACAGATATCCGATTTTTATTCAAGTAGGGAAAAAATAACTGATTCTATATAAGCTCTGAGCGACATCTTAAATATAATATATTACTTTACAATTGATATTCGCTATTTTGGTATTAAATTATGTATACGTTATTAAATTCTTGTGTTTGTATTCGTCATTAAAAATCACGATATTACTCATCTCTAAGCCTTCTGATGATTGACCCCTTGCTCTTGCACAAAGCCATTTTTGTTATGTCACATGCCAGTTGTCATTAGTGGCATCAAACATGAAAGCATCAAATTTAAAAGTTTAGTTTTTTAAACGGTTTTAATTTAATGTCAAATATATATACAGAATTTTATCAAAATGTCCTCAGTCGTAATGGAAGTTTTAAAAAAAGTACAAATTACTAAAGCCTCGTATCAAAAACAATTAAAAATTTTGAAACAAGAGTATGATAGGGTATGTTGGATCATTTACTGAAATACCATTCTCTAACTTATGTTTTCTATATTGCAGGGCTCAGTAGAACACTTTTTTGTACATATACGAAACTTTTTAAAGTTTATATTTATATCAAATACGAATGTTTATGTGGAAAAAGTGCTAGAATTTTTGGCATACTTTATTGCAGAAGTAACACCTGATGATACAATGGAAGATGATTTCAGTGAAACTGGTCTTCATCCACTTTTAACTATGACAATTAAAGAAACTCTAAAGGTATACTTAGCTTGTATTACATATTTGTATGTGCAACTATGCTGGTTTATTATTTTGAAGTATTGTCTGTTTATTCTCACTAACTAAACTACAAATTTAAATTATAACATTCTAATTTTACGTAATGTTTATGCATTCTATTATAACAATTGTATTGTCCCTTAGACCATTTTATAAAAATAGTAAACATATCCAAATATCTATTGTAAATATAAACATTGTTTATGTTTATTTTTCTAGTATCACAGATTGGTCAATGAATGCCTTAGATGTAATTCATGTCTATTTATTAGACTTATTTTGGCACAGATTGGTCCCAACAAAAACTTAGATAATGAAATATGTGATCTAATTGAGGAGGCTATGTTAGAAAGAACTTTGGTAAGTAAATTACTTATTATTTTGAAATTGTTTTTGATCTGGTAATCATATAGATATCAAATATGTTCCCAGTATTTCACATTACACCAAATTATTAACCAGCATGAAACATTGAAATAGTTTTTTATCAGTAACCAGTTTATCATCTATTGTAGATATGAATATGTTAAGATTGATGATACTTCTTTCAATTTCAATTGTTCAATTGTTCGTTTGGTTGTAGGCTGCAGATTTCAAGGAGATCATTTGTAATAGAGCTATCTACACTATACATCTACACATCATTTGATTATATTGTACATATGTCACTATTGTTGCTCAGTGAAAATCCCTGCAATTACTCTGAGTTTAATTTTCTGAAGTTCTAAGAGTATTTTTACATTCTGATCAGAAGGTCATCATAACCTTTTTGCTTATCTTTGACCTGATATATAGTTTCAGTTTAAGTTTTTCCCCTTTTTTTTACATAATTCACTATGTAGCTTTTCAGTACTGTGGTATTTGTATTTGTAAGGAATGTCTTAAATATGCACCAAACCAGTGTGTAAAAAACTCTACCTTTTCATCCAGTCATCTATTTTCTATTTTGTATACTCTACTACTCTTTTTTTCATAATTCTTGTAATCATTACATTAATGTTTTCTCTCTTACTTTATTTCTGTCTTCTCTCATTTTTCTCATGTTCTTAATTATACATCCACCACTTTAATCACAGTTCTCTTATTTTTTTTTACTACATTTCTTTTTGTCTCTAATTGCTTGTACATAATTACTGTAGTACTATTGTAAAATAGCATTTATTTTTAGGATCCAAAACCTGCAGTTCGTTATCAAGCAGTACGGGCTTTGATTAGATTGCAAGATCCAATGAATGCAGACTCTCCAGTGAATAAAGCTTATTTGTCACTCATTGTTGATGCTAGTGCCCTGGTAAGATCCATTTTGGGTACATGATTTAATTTCAAAATAAAACATTTATTTAATAATTATATATATATATATATATATATATATATATATATATATATATATATATATATACATCCTACTATCATTTTGGCATCGATACATTATGCTTTTACCATCAATTTAGCATCGTCTTGCAAAGTAGCATCTGTATATCGACGCTACTTTACAAGACCTTAATAACTTTTTTCCTGTACTTGTTACAAGAATTTTAACCATCTCAATGATTAGAGATTTGATACCGTGTTGGTATTTTAAAATGTCCGCTTTCTCTTTTTATCCCTTACTGAGTTATATAAGTTTATTCCAGGAAATGTTTGAGTCTAAAATGATGGTACAGTGAAAATATTATATATATTTAGTTCAGGGTTTTACCGTTTACTCGCTGCCATTACATACATGAAAATGTATATCGCACTTTCATTATCAATCATTTTGGCATCAGAAATTTGGCATCGCTGTTGAATATAATATTACCCACAACGAAATGGTAAATTTAAGAATTTATATATATTTTTTTCATCCATAAATCATTCTAGCATCTTGTTTGATTAAAAATAACGGGTTATATATTGGGTATATATAACGGGGTATATATTGCATATTTTTGCTCCAATTGGTCCAGTCGTGATGTACAGCACCTCAAATGATAGGATTTAACCAATAAAATACAATAAGACAGAAAAGCAGCATGTCAAAAAGGCCTTAGTTATATACCTTCGTTTCTATAAGTCCAATCGTGACGTACAGTATCTCAAATGATAGGATTTAACCAATCGAAAACAATGAAATAGAAAAATCAAATACAGCAACATGTCAAAAGGGCCGTAGTCACGTATTTTTGATCCTATTAGTCCAATCGTGACGTATAGTACCTCTAATGATAAGATTTACCGTAAGGAATACAATGGGATAGAAAAATGAAATACAGCACAATGTCAAAAGGGCCTTAGTTGTGTATCTTCGGTTCTGTTAGTCCAATCATGACGTGCAGTACCTCAAATGAAAGGATTTAACAAATAAAATACAATGAGATACAATGAGGTAATGGAGTTGCATGTCAAAAGGGCCTTAGTTATGTACCTTTGGTCCTATTAGGCCAATAGTGACGTACGATATCTCAAATGATAGCACTTAACCAATCTTCTTCTTACGGTGCCTTATCCTTAAGGACGTTGGCCATTACATTTGCCCATTTAATCTTATTTGTAGCAGTTCTGAATAGTTCTATGGAGGTCATGTTCGTCCATTGCCGTAAGTTTTTAGAAAGAGTTGCAAGAGTTTTTTTGCAAGAGTTGCGAGAGTTTTTTTTCAAGAGTTGCGTCTTCTTCCTGGTCCTCTTTTGCTATTGACTTTGCCTTCGATTATAAGTTGGAGCAGTTCATACTTTTGACTTCTTATGATGTGACCAAAATATTGTGTTTTCCGTTCTTTTATTATAAGCATAAGCTTTCTTTCCTTATTCATTCTCCGCAAGACTTCCGCATTCGTCGTATGGCTCATGTAGGATATTCTGAGCATTTTACGGTAACACCAGAGTTCGAATGCTTGGATTCTTTTTTGTGTTGCTTCTGTCATTGTCCAGGCTTCAACACCATAGAGCAGGGTGGAGAAAACATAGCACTTAAGTATTCTAGTTCTCAATGAGATGCCCAGCTGGCGGATGATAGAACTTTTTGCATTTTGTAAAACATTGTACGTGCCTTTTTCAGGCGTATTCTTATCTCTAGTGAGTGGTCCCAAGTTTCATCAAGATTACTTCCAAGGTACGTTGTTCTTGTTACTCTATCCAGATCTGTTCCGTCGACATTGACCTTCACCCTTCTGTTTTGGTGCTTGCTGATGATCGTCGTTTTTGCCTTCTTTGTATTCAATTTCATTCCAAATTCTCTACAGGCTGTCATTACTCGGTCCATTAAGCGTTGCAGGGCTTCAGCATTATTTGCCAGTATGACAGTGTCATCAGCATATCGCAGGTTATTTATACATTGCCCGTTTATAATTATACCATCCGAGTTGCCTTCCAAAGCTTTCTGAAATATCTTCTCAGAGTAAACATTGAACAGCAAAGGTGATAGGACACATCCCTGTCTTACTCCCTTCTCGATATTGATTTTTCCAGATGTTTCGCTTGTTATTCTGATTTTAGCCTTTTGTTCTTGGTAAAGGTTTGAAATGATCCTTAAGTCTTTATCGTCGATATTACATGACCTTAAAATATCTATTAGTTTATAATGTTTCACCAGGCCAAACGCCTTCTGAAAGTATATAAAACACAAGTATACATCAGAATCGACATCTCTACATCTTTCAACTAGCACACGTATTGAAAAAAGTGCTTCTCTTGTTCCGTACCCATTCTTAAAACCAAACTGAGTTTGACCAGTGTGTTAGTCTAGTTTATTGTATACTCTATTGTGTATTACTCGTAGGAAAAGTTTCAATATATGATTCATCAGGCTAATAATCCTATGGTCTTCACATTTCTTGGCGTTTTTCTTCTTTGGTAGTGGTATAAACACCGATGTCAGCCAATCATTTGGTATTATGCCTGTTTCGTATATTTTGTTAAATATATCTTCCATTACTTCGATGTGTTCGTCTAGTAATATCTTTATTATTTCAATTGGGATATTATCTTCCCCAACAGCTTTTCCGTTCTTTATCTGATTTGCCGCTTTGATAATTTCTTGCTTTGTGATATAAGGTCCAGTCGATGCCTCCTGCATGTAAATGTTCGTCCTCTCTCGGTCTTGAAACATCTCTTCCACGTATTCTCTCCATCTACCTATTTAATCTTCTCTGTTCAGTAGCGGGTTCCCATGTTTATCTTCGATGAAAGACGTAGGAGTTTGTTTAAATATTCCAGCGGCTTCTTTTACTTTTTTATGTAGATTGAAAGTATCATGTCTTTGTTCCAACTCTTCAATTTCTTGGCATCTTTCACTTAGCCAGGTTTCTTTGGCTTGTTGGATCTTTATTCTGATATTCTTGTGTATTTGCTTGTATGTTGTTTCATTTTTACCTCTGTATTTTCTTCTTTCGTCCATCATGTTTAGAATTTCTTCTGTCATCCATGGTTTGTTACTCTTGTAAGTGTTTTCTCAATATAGTGCCAGTCTTCCTCGGGAGTTTGTGTCGATTGTACTGTTCTGTTACTCAAGTGTCTATGTATTTCTTCCCGTATTTTATTACTAGTGGATTCTTCTTTAAGCTTATCTGGGTTAATAGCTATTATTTGCTTATTTCTTTTTGTTCTTTTAAATTCTATCCTAATTGTTGTAAGAAGAAGATTGTGGTCGGTGGGGATGTCCCTAGTATTTTTAAAATATACCAATTAGATAATAATAATCAAGCAATAGAACACTGAAAACTTTTGTTTTTAACTGTCCGCCCGTGAATGACTTGCCATTTTTTAAATAACACTTCATATTGCACTTTTTTATTGTATTTTTCTCATTTTTTAAGATAATTCTTGTAGGAATATATTTATTTATAACATACGGTCTTATGGTCTCACGACAAGTATTACGGCTTGATTATACAACCTAAATATATCTTGTACCGCACTGTTAATTGAGAATTATGTTTGTAATGCGATAAGAGGACCGTATATACGAGACACCAGTGACTTATGCCACACATAAAACTTCGACAGGAAATTCTATTTCTACATTTCTATAAAAAAAATAGATTACTTGTTTTGTGTAATAATTTAGTTTAGGTCGAACAAGAGTTGCAGTAAAAATTTTTTCTGAAATAGAATTTAAATCATATTTCGAATGCTTTGTGAAAGATAACCAATTTATAATATTCCCGACAACGTAAAAACACATTTCTTTTAGAATATGGGTCGATGAATTCAAATCATAGTTCAAGAAACGAATTTATGTGCAGATGTTCTATTACAAAAAAATCAAAACCAAAATCTAGATTAAAAAAGTCGCAACTACTTATATACTGAAACTTCACCCCATTATTGATTTCACAAGTGATAAAAAGGGTCGACAAAGAACCAGTTTTAATTATTACAACATTTAAACATAATAGTTGTATCTTGGTTTATTCAGGTGGAAAGAAAAATTAGACACAAGTGCTAAAACCACAAACTATTCTAAATTATAACGTTGTGAAAAAAGAGTTGATTTTAGCGATCAAATGGCTTTTTACAAAAGCCCAATACGCAAAATACTAAAGTGGTACCGGAAAGTGGCAGTGGAATTAATATTTAATACCGCAGTAGTCAATACTTAGTTGCTAAATAATAGAAAACGCGAAAAAAGCGACAACCTATCCTTGAGTTCAGACTGGAATTAGCGAAGGCGTTTGCAAATAAAGAAATGTTGAAACCCTAATGACTAATTACACCCAAAAAATACCATCTCAGGCAAAGCGATGTAGATAATAAAAAGAGAAGGAAGTGTACAAGAGGTTACAAAATTTTAAGAATAAGCGTGACTAGTAGAAAGGCCGATAGAAAAATTAAAAAAATTAAAACATACTGTGAAGAATGTGATAGCAAAACTGCAATATGTCTAGTGTGCTTCAATGAAGCAAATTAAAAAGCAATTTTACTTATACAGGAATTATTATTGAGTAAAAACGTGTTGTGCCTCAAGTGCCCTTATAGTATTGGAAAACGTAAATTGATAGTTTCTAGTAAGTAGTATGTTTTCATTGTTAATTACGTATGTTAAAGTAAGTTATAGTATTTGTAAAAAAATGGATGTAAATAATATTATGTGTTCGACGTCTAAAAAAGCTAGACGTAAACATAAACGTAGATTGACCACTGCTGAATTACAATCATTTTTAGAAGCATCTGGCGAGGATGATGTAGATTAAATGAATGGTGGAAGTGACTCTGACGAAATATTTGCAGAAAGTCGTTTAGAAAAATCGAGGATTGCGTTTTGGAAACAGACAACACAAACAGAATTTAAAAGTTTTCTCGGGCTTATATT